ACATGCGAATTAGCATGCATTTTAGAATCATGGCTAGATGAAAATGCAGGGTCGAGGCAGCTATTCCAGGCCATTACACAGTGTTCCACCGTCCGAGACAAGATTGCAAGGGAGGTGGAGTTATGATCTGTGTGAAATCATCCTTAAATCCCAGACCAATGTCAGTCCACAAACCCAAATCTTTTGAATGCCTAAATCGTCGCCACTCCACCCACAGAAAAAGTCATACACTTGATCTAGTGTTTCAGTCTGGACTAGAAGTGTCACCAGTAACTGTAAATCCAGTTGTTTGTCAGACCACCACTCCATTGTATCACAATCAGCCAGACTTCAGCCTCAGAACCTGGTCAAACACCGCTCATTAAATGGGCTGACGCCGTTGGATGTAACATTACATATGGACGTAAGTTAACTAATGGGCACCTGTGAAGACCCCAGCTCTACAACAAAACCATGACAGACACCCTAGAAAGCATTGCACCAACACGCATACGCACTGTCAAAACCCACAACAATGCACCATCAGAGAAATTAAGAGAGCAGGCTGTAAACCTGAGAGAAAGTGGCACAGGACACATGATCCAGAGGATAAAGCCACTCTTACCAAACATCTGAATGAATATCAATTCAAGATAACTCCTATATCACACGAAATTGCACTCTCCCACATTAGACCCAGGCAACTGTTTCGCACAGTAGAAAGGCTCTGCAAACCAGCATGCATGCATATCTCCACCAACTTTTCTCAGGATTAGTGTGAAGCATTTGCGATCTTCTTCAGAGAAAAGATTTCCTCAATCCGAGCCTCTATCGCAGCAGGCCAAACAGTTACACACCAGAAGCACTACAATGGAATGCCAGATTGCCCCAGTTTATGGTCCACTTTTACAAATGTGGATATAAAGGGAGTTAAAAGAACCATGCAAAAGTTACACCCTACTACGTGTGACTTAGACCCTGCTCTAACTCAGCTTATGTCTGCATGCATTGAAACACTTGCCCTAGCCCAGTTCACTAAAAACTGGGTAAAACTGTGGTAAAACCACAAATACAGAAACCTTTATTAGACCCAGACTGCATGGCTAATTACAGACCAGTATCCAACCTTCCATTTCTGGGGGGAAAAATTGAAAAAGTAGTGGCAACTCAACTGGAGGCCCATCTATCAAGCTTGAACATCTTTGATCCTTTCCAGTCAGATTTCAGATGCCGCCACAGCATTGAAACAGTGCTAGTCCGAGTGCTAAATGATCTCCTTATGGCGAAAGACAAAGGTGATGACTCCATTCTAATCCTCTTTGATCTCTCAGCTGCATTTGACACCATTGACCACAGGATTTTAATAGAGCGCTTGCAGCTCTAGGTCTAGGAGGCACAGTCATTAACTGGTTTAAGTATTTCCTCACTGGTAGATCACAGAGAGTAACATCAGGATCAAGCTCATCAGCACCAATAGAACTGGCTTGCGGAGTTCCACAAGGATCCATCTTGTCTCCCATGCTATTCGTAATTTACTTGCTACCACTGGGCGACATCATTAGGTGACGTCATTAGGCGACATGGCCTAAGATATCATTGTTACGCTGATGACAGACAACTCTTCTGCTCCATATCCCACAGACCCAACATGCCGCATCAACAGTTGCTTAGCAGACCTCATAGAATGGATGAATGCTAGTTGGCTTAAAGTGAACCCGGACAAAACAGAGTTACTCTTGGTGAGGGGACCGCGGGCAACAAAAATATCCCATGATCACCCAACTGGCTTGGAGCTTGGAGGCTCTGAACTCATTAGTTCATCAAAGGGATGAAACCTCAGAGTGCTGATTGATTCTGGACTATCATTTAAACACCAGATTTCCTCCGTAATAAATTTACACTTAATTTATCCGGATGATATGCCAACATTAATCCATGCATTTGTATCCTCTCGGCTTGAAATCTGCAATGTACTTTACTTGGGCCTCCCAGAAAAAGAACTCCATCACCTTCAGACTGTACAAAATGCAGCAGCCAGACTACTGATCAATCAAACTCGCTCCTACCACATAACACCTGTTCTCCACTCCCTGCATTTGCTTCCAATTAAATGGCGAACATATTTTAAAATTGGCCTGCTAACCTTCAAAGCCTTAAACAATCAAGGTCTACAGTAACTGAAAGAGCTCCCGACACCCTACATTCTATTCCGTTCACTTGAGTCAGCCAGCAAATCCCTCCTGTCAGTGCCAAGAATAAAGACAGACTCAGGTTCCAGGGCATTCAGCCACACTGTCCCTACCTTCTGGAACTCTTTACCATGCACAATCAGGGAGGCACCATCCTTTAAAAAAAAAGCTAAAGATCTACCTCTTCCATGAGGCATTCAGTTCGGTCATCTGACCTTCAGAAACTCCTAACTTTTATGTCTTTATGTTTGTATATTTGTAAAGTGCTTTGAGTCTCACAGGGAGAAAAGCACCATAAAAATCGCAAATTATTATTATTATAAATTATGTCCAACACACCCACCACGGCCCTTACAGAGATTACCTGAACCACATTGCTTTCTCTCCCTGCGTAGACAAACAATAGAACCTTACCTTCGGAACACTGGTTATATTCCACACGGTGACTACTTATCTATTGCAATTGGTACTTGTTTACTACTGTTTATTGTTATTTTCACTGTTCTCTGTCTTCTCGTTACCCGTTTACTCCCCTGCACATCAGAGTGTATCCAATCAGATATCTTAGACTTGTAATTAAGGCCGTAATACTATACTCCACAGAATATTTTTAAATGTATATGTTTGCTATGAATATTTTTAGCGATTTGTACCCAATGTACACTGATAACATCAAATGCCATGCTCAATAATTATTTTTAGACACATTTTCTTTCACATCTTACCTTCTTTTTTTTCTGTACCCCTGAAAACGTGATAACATTTGTCAAATTTGAAAAACAAAATTGGTGATTGGGAAATTAATTTGTGATAAGGATTAAAAGAGTGTTGTTTGAGATAGGTCTTGCAGTCCATTCACACTTGAAATGCTTGGTGTGAATAATGTTCTTCTTAAATTTGATGGTGTCTAATTAGGGCTTAATTAGGACTTACAGTGCATCCTAAATATAAAGGCATGGTCATGGTAATCAGTAGACACCTTCATGAAATAATACTTTGTTTTCAACTGATACATGCACATATGTAAAAATGTTTACCAACTCTGATATTCTTATGCTAAACTAAAACATAGCAAACATAGGCAATAATAACATTATAGTGTTAAAGAAGATAAAGAAAGTACTTTAAGACATCCAAATGCCAATATATAGTATGCATGATAATTTGATTTTGATTTATAGAAAATGATTGGGTGCAAATCTGTATCCACAACTGACCCCTTGGGGCTTCAAACTATGAATATAACTGCAGAACTGATTAATCCCCATTTCAATTTTAAAGAATGACATAGATCTCGTGATTTCTACACAAGTCATGAAATGGAAATGGAACGATATAGTGGGGCTTCAGGCTGCTGACAGATCTAACAGAAAGCGCAAAGAATATTTCCTTGAGTGAAGTTTCATTAAAGGGAAAAGAAAGAATGAGAGTAGACTGGTCTTCGACAAGTGAAGTGTTTTAAACTAAATTATATTTTTCCAGATAAGGGAAAAGGTGGCCAGAGACTGTGCTTTCTATTACCTTTCAAAATAGCTACCATATATTTAAAGTGTTCTTCTGAAACCAAACAATGGTAATTGGATGGTACAGACTGTTACGGCTTATCTAAAAAATCCCAATTAAGTATATCAATCATAAACCAAGTAAATATCAACTATTACATTGTGTTTTCAAAGCCTTGTGAGCAGCATACAATTTGTGACACTAGTAATGGCAAAACATGACATTTACAGCAGCATAGAAAGTATTTGCCACCTTCCTGATATTCTGTATTTTTGCATATTTGTCACAGTAAATGGTCTCAGCATCTCGTACAAAGCATACAATAAGACAAAGAGAATCTACTAAACTCAATTTTCAAATGATAATTTTTAAAACCACAATTGCCAATAGCAACTGAGCTGAGGGCAAAAGTAATTGCCTCCTTAAACATAATAACTACTTGCGTCATCTTTAGCAGTATTGTAACTATATATATCGCCTTTAATTTAAGATCAGTTATTCAGATCACTATAGAGGAATTTTGACCCACTTTTCTTTGCAGATTTGCTATAATTCAGTGACATTGAGGGTTTTAGAGCATGAACTCTTACATGAACATTTAAAGGAACACTATAGCATTAGAAATACAAACATGTAATTTAAAGGCTATAGTGTTATGAAATGATTTACATGCTTATCCTCACCCCAAATTAAGATAATAAAAGATTTTACTCATCTTATTTCCCCCCCCATCGTGCAAGTCTCCATGCAGCTACCCTACCTCCCCAGACTGAGAACATCAACCATGATGATCTCTGCCAAGTCAGGGTTCCCAATAGGGAATCACTGGGAGGCTAGTGCGCATGAGTGCTAAAAGTAGAGTGTGGAGATGCTGAATGTCTCTGGAGTGGCTGCTTGTCAAGGTGCTGTTAGGCAGAAAACTACACTGCTCAGCCTGCAGGGACAGAGTGTATGCCCCAGAACAGCTACATTACGCTGCAGTGGCTTTGGTACCTATTGTTTCATTTCATATTCAGCATCTCGATAGGGAATTAAGTGAAGAATTTGATCAGACCATACACTTTTTTTTTTTGCTATTTATAGGAGGACTTACTCTTGTGTTTAGATTCAGTGTCCTGCTGTATGACCTAATTACGCTTGATATTCACATCATGAACTGATTGCTAGACATTGTCTTTATAATTTTCTGGTAGGGAGCCGAATTACTGGCTCTGCCAGTAATGATACATCTGACAGATCCCAAAGCAGCAAATAATTCTCACACGATCACCAACTACCACCATGTTTATTTGTTAGCATGACGTTATTGTCATGAAATGCAGTGTTTTCTTCACACTAGAAATAATGGAATCTGTGTCTTTTAAAAAGTTCAGTTTTTGACTAGCCTGTCCACATTACATTGTATCATGTTTAGATTCAACAGGTTTGTCAGCGATGAAACCATTTTTCAGCAAGACTGCGTGAGTCTCAACTTTGGATTGTGGCTAGGGTAGCATAAACAAAAATATTTAACTCACCAAGCTCAGAGTTGAGAGGTGGGACTGAAAGCACTTAATAAATATACCAAAACCATGTAATTAAGCAAAAAATATTTTTAGTGCTTAGAGTGTCTCTGGAAGATAGCAATAAATTGTTCTATTTATGTTTCAAAAACATTAACTTACTTAGTAAGTAATGGTTTTGTCTATAAACCATTAGTGAAAAACAAAGCGAAGACTACTGCAAACAGAAAATTATAAATGATAAATGATATGTGACAATAAAACAAATCAGTGATTTCTGTCAGTTACTGATATGTGAGATTTTACTGTGGCTAAATGAGTGGAATAGAGTATAGTAATTTCTTCTAGACTATTAAAGCAATTAAAGGGACACTCCAGGTGCCAACTCCCATCAATCTTAACCCTGCAAGTGTAATTATTGCAGTTTTTATAAAATGCAATAATTACATTGCAGGGTTAAGTCCTCCTCTAGTGGCTGTCTATCAGACAGCCACTAATTGGGACTTCCAGCTTCTTAAAATACGAAAAGTGTTTGTAATGACACTGGACATCCTCACGCTATGCATGAGGACCTCTAGAGCTGCCGGAATTCCCATAGGAAAGCAACGAATAATGCTTTCCTATGGGGAGCTCTAAAGCGCGTGTGCGGCCATTGCCGTGCATGCACATTAGGTCTCCCCCGCCGGCTGACGTCGGCGTGGGAGGAGCTTGGGCGGCGCCTAACCCAGCACAAGGGGACATCAGCGCTGGATTTAGGTAAGTCACTGAAGGGGTTTTAACATGGGATGGGGGATGGGAGGGAGGGGGGCACTGCAGGATTCTGCAGTGCAAAGAAAACTGATTTGTTTTCCTGGCACTGAAGAGTCCCTTTTACAATAAGGATGCAGTACTAATTAAATCATTAATACCTTAACAGCCCCCACAAATTGTACAGAAAATCAGCACTCTGTAGTACATATTTAAAATTACTAACCTTCCTCGTGGAAAATGAAAATCTGTCAATCACTAATGAATTTTTATGGAGCCTTATAAAATTAATGTAATTTCCTTTTAGCAATGTAAAGAGAAATTAGATTAGCATTATATTACCTAACTAAAAGAAGACGGCCATGGTCGTTATTTTCACCCATGAATTAAGGACAAATAATTACTGTAAATTGCATTATAAGTGTTTTTTTTATAATGTTGATTTAATGGAGGCTTGCACATGTTAAAGATCACTTGATATATTTAGCGTGACAGCTCACGGTAATCATACAGATTTGCTTTTAGTTACATACTTTGCATAAATGATATCAGGTGTTAAAGTAGATCTGTCACTTCTGAGATTTTTACCTCATTAAATTTACATTTTGAAACCAAGTACAATGCGTTTCTTTTTTTTTTTTGCTTAATCATGTAAGAATTTTGAGAATGTTAGAGTTAAAATATTCCCTCCACTTTTCTATCTTCCATCTTTTAACTGTAAATCAACACAAGACGTCTGCTTTCATTAGAGCAAGCGTTAAGAAAAATGTTATTATAATAATATTGATAATAATAATAATGATAATAAATAATAAAGAGAGGTTTAATTTGCACAAAAATAAAACAAAAGGAAATTAACTCAGATCACAAACACTGATATCTTAGCCTTTTCTACTGTTCTACACCTGGTCAAAATTATGCATCCACGATTGCCGAAACACATCTTTCTATCACTCTCACACATCTCTTCCTCTCCCTGTCTTCTAGAATACTCACCCATCTCTTCCTCTCCCTGTCTTCTAAATCTCTCACCTATTTCTTCCACTTTCTTTAATACTATTACTTTCAACCAGAGGCGGCGCTATAATTAACATAATTTAATAATATATGATTATATATATCAGGGGTCAAGTACTGGGGAAAAAAGTGTGGGAACTCACCCATGATCCACCACCCAAAAGCATCTTCACCTGTGTACCTCTTAACCAGCCTTTTGTTTCTTATCCCTTTAGTGTATCTTATCCCCTAATGTTCCCCATTGTGTGTCTTACACCTCCCTTGTATATCTCTTACAAACCCTCTTTGTGTGTCTTATTCCCCCCAGCCCCTTTGTGTGTCTCCTTCTCTCCCAGCCCCTTTGTGTCTTTTACTCTTACCTGCTCCTTTGTGTTTCTCTTTTACCACCAAACGGTCTATCTCCCCCTAACCCCTCTGTGTCTCTTTTTCCTCTTCTCCAGCCCCCCTGTGTCTCTTTCACCTGCAGCCCCTTTGTATTTCCACCCCCAGGACCTTCTGTGTGTCAGTTTCATCCCCAGCCCCTCTGTGAACTTTCTCACCACAGGCCCATCTGTGTGTATTTCTCCCTCCTCTTGTCCCTCTGTGTATCTTTCTCCGCACTCAGGCCCTTCTGTGTGCCACTTTCCCCTCTGAGTCCCTTAGTGTTCCTCTCTACTCCCCTCCATGTCGATTAGTGTTCCTCTTCCTCCCCTTTAACTGTCTCTTAGTGGCCCCTATTCCCCTTAATGTTCCTCTCCCTTCTCTTTAGTGGTCCCCCCTACCCCGGTGTTCCTTTTCCCTTGCCTCCCCTGTACCTTAGTGCCCCGCATTAATGGTCCTCTCCCCTCCCTCTTTTTTAGTGTTCTTCCCTCCCCTCCCCTCCCCTCACCTCCCGTCCCCTGTCCTATAGTTTTATTCACCATTCCCCTCCCTGCTACATAGTGTTCTTTTCCCCCCTCCCCATAGTGTTTTCCCTTTCCCCATAGTGTTATTTCACCCCTGCCCATAGTGTTCTTCCCCCCACCTCCCCTGTCCCATAGTGTTCTTTCCACCCCTTTTCAGGTCCCATAGTGTACAGGAGATTCAGTTTCCTGTACCCGGCCGGACTGACAGGAAGTGCTCTCTATGTGAAACTGAAGTTCCTGGAGTGCAATGCACACTGCTCCGCTCGACCATGCTACACAGAGTGACTGGCAGGAGGGATCTCTGTGCGCCCACCTCCTGCCAGTCACTCTGATCTAGTGCCCCCAGGGTCGGTGCGCCTTAAGGCGGCCGTTTGTGCTGCCTTATGAATGCACCAGCCCTGCCTGCAGGACTACTAACGGGAACACCATTCCCATGCATTCCTGCATCACTCAAGCCCTGATATATATGCCTTGCTGTCACTGTGAGAGCATCAGCCAGGGCCTTTTATTCTAGTTTTGCCTAAGGCATCGCACACTCTAGAACCTTCTCTGCTTCCAGCTATACCTCCCTCTCTTAACACTCTCAACCATCCCTTCCACTTATTTCCTCCTATCATTCTCCCTCATCCATTCTTACAGATCACATGCTGAAAAAAAACTCTCCAAATGCACCACATAAAAAAAAAAAATAAGATATTGCAATTTATATTATTGTATATAAACAAGTATATAAACAAAAAAAAAAGTTTTTCTAGAATCTCTGCAAATTGTTCCTGTAAAGTTTAACAGTTTTGGAACAGCAGTAGTTAATTATTCAATCTCCATGAGTTATTCCTGCTCATTACTCTCGTGATAGATGTGCAGAAAGGTTGGACTATTCGTTCATACTGAGCGCTTGCTCTCCATTTATTAACAAATGTACTTCTCTGCTTATTTCACATGTATTCCTTATAGCCTTTTCCATCGACATTCACTGAACATAATCAAATGAATTTGTTGAGCATTAATGGATGTAGTGATAATGCACAGACTTGCAAATCTCAGTTCCATTTAATTCTCTTCCCTACAAGAAAAAAAATCTTGCATTACTTGCAATAATAGAGATACATGAAAATGAAATGTTTTTCTTGCAGCTCTGTTGCATACATATTAATTCTGGGGTAATATCTATCTATCTATCTATCTATCTATCTAATCTATCCTGTGGTATGTAAAACACAGACACACATATTCAAATACAGACACTCACATAGATGCATAAAAACAACAAATGCACAGATAACAACACACATACTCATTGGCATTTACTGCTGTGTCATTCTAATGGTAGCACTATTAGATATACACTGAACAAAATTATAAACTCAACACTTTTGTTTTTGCACCCGATTTTCATGAGCTAAACTCAAAGATGTAAGAAATTTTCCATGTACAGAAAAGGCCTATTTTTCTCAAATATTGTTCACAAAACTGTCTTCTAAATATGTGCCAGTGAGCACTTCTCCTTTGCCTAGATAATCCATTCACCTCACAGGTGTGGCATATCAAGATGCCGATTAGACAGCATGATTATTGCACAGGTGTGCCTTAGGCTGGCCACAATAAAAGGCCACTCTAAAATGTGAAGGCGAAGTGTAGGCAAAAATAACCAAAATATAACCATATCTAAACAAGAGAATTAACCCCTTAAGGACTGAGGACGGTTCAGGACCGTCATCGGCATTTTCCCATTGCCGACCGCTGACGGTCCTGAACCGTCCTAACGGTCCTAGTTACTTATCTGATCGCCGTCGCTCAACACAGCGATCACATGGTCACAATAGGTATCCATGTGTCTGCCTGCAGGGTGACTGCCTGTGCTGACAGGCAGTCTTCCTTCTAGTGTAAAATCAGTAAAAAAAAAAAGTTAATGTTAATAAAAAAATAAAATAATTATATATGTGTGTATATATATATATATATATATATATATATATATATATATATATATATATATATATATATATATATATATATATATATATATATAGAGATATATATATATATATATATATATATATGATATATAGACATATATATCGATATAATATATGTCTATATATCATATATATATATATATATATAATGTCATACTAAGTGTATTTTTATATTAATATGTACATATATATATTGTATATATATTATTATAAAATATAAATAATAAGTAATTTAAATTAAATAAAAATTTTTTGAAATAATAAAAATTGAAAAAAAATATATATATCTATATGAAATTTTATTCTAACTGTATTTTAAAATTAATATATATATATATATTTATATCAAAATACACTTAGAATGAATTTGTATATATACCTATGTATATATAAATAAATAAAAATAATACAA